TGGTGATAGCGAGTCTGCAACCGACCTGAAACAATTCAACTTCAAACTAATCAGATCACTTCAGTCTAAGAAAATTTAAAAAATAATAATGAAAGTGTACTTCTAGTTAAAAGAGGACTCTTCTTTGAGTAAAAACTCACAAAAAAGAGTTATAAAGAAATCTTCACCTTTCGTAAGTTTCCGTATGTTTCTTACGCGGTCGTTGCTCACTCTCCTCACCCCTATCCACCAAATCTTCATCTCTTCCATAGCTCTTGCCTCTTCTTGGCGAAGAGGTTGTGGTAATACCCATGAGTCGTTGGAACGATGGAGGCATCGTGATAGTCGGCAATGTGGGCATCGCGATAGTGGCAAATGTGGGAAACGTTGGTAAGGACATCATTGGTGGAAAAGTGACGGTGGGAAGATTCATTGGAAGCATGTGAGGAAGCGGGATTACAGGTGCTGAAAGTGGATGAGGCATCCTGGGTGAGTGAGCTGCGGCTTTGGACGTTTTAGATGTGCTCGGAGATCGACGTACTCCCGTCGAGACTCTCTTGAAGCCCTTTGCACGTGGAGCGACACCGTTAACTTTGTACACTGGTGCTCTGGAACACAAATAGTGGCTGTAGATGAGAATGCCTTGTGAACTGTAATAAGGAGCCTTACCTCCTAATCTCAGCCTGCTGTTCAAATCGCATTGGCGAAGCTCGCGGTACCTCTTCCACACATTCGGCTGAAATTTATTATTGTAAGCTGACTACTTTTATATCCAACTGATATTTTCTCAGAACAGTGTAGTTTTATCAATGATAATGTCATGCAAATTTCGACTTTAGTGTAGTTAGACAACAAAAGAAAATCACATTTTATATTTAAATAAATTTCAACAATAAATACAAATATTTTTAAAAATCAGTTTCTTTTTTCTTCAAATCTCAAAGTTTTTATTTTTTCAAGTTTTAAAATGGAAACACTTGCCAGAGGACATTCAAAAAAACAAATGGAAGGAACTAAGAAGCTACTTTGCCAAGTTCGTCATTTTTTACAGCAATGGCAGGCATTATTTTATTGCAATCTTCTTAGTCGTAAATTTTGTGTACCATATGCTAGAGATGAACATGAAAAGTTGCAAGACTGCTTTATTTAAGTTTTAACGCGATGTAGCTTATTTTGGCATTATAAACTTGATCCACTCACAAATTTCAATAAGTAAGCGTGAATGAGAAATTAAGTATACTCTATCACCCATAAACTAACCTATAAGTAATGTACAGACAAGGTAGAAGGAGATGATCCACATGCTGGGAGACAGTGAGAGTCTGACCTGATTCCCTTTCCATCGCTTCACGAAAGGGATACTCAAACTGGAAATGCAAGCTCGGTGATATGAGACACAAAGGAATAGAGTTGCAAGATTCAAGTACAGTAAAGGTATCTGCAGGAAAAGGAACTGCAATCTCAATTATTTTTTATTTTATCTCTACAATTTCCATGCTGCGCGCGGAAAAAATTGGCATCCTAAAAAAGAGTTTTTAAGCGTAAATAATTCAAATGGCAGTAATATGTATTGTTGTCCGGAATTTTGAAAATTTTCTTTAAATCTCATGACTGCATCTTTTTGGTAGATACGGTAAGAAGGTCTGCTGGAAATTCAAGAGCGCTACCATCTCCAAAACCGCGAGCATAGCACGAATGTAACGCATCAAGTTAGCAAATTAGGTTATAAGTTCATAAAATAACTGCGAGCGAATCCGTTCCGTGAACGACAGAAGGCGCATATCATGAGTGATATCAATATTCACACAAGACTTTTATTTCCTGATTCACAAACAGTCGCTACTCTGAGTGTAGAGATATGGGAGTTTAGATATTTCTGTGCACTACAGTCTTAAACGCTGAAGGAAGGTTCAGTTTAAAGTGCTGTTCCGGACACAACTTTGATTGCTCTTTAACGCGCCCATCGGCTGGAAAAGTTGCCCACGGGAATTAGAACAAAAAGTGATTCAATAATGTTTTTTGCGTCATCCTGAGTACAAAACTAGGAAAACTCGAATAAGACAAGGTCCTATATCGACCAAATTCGTTATTTTGGCTCATCTAAGCACTGTTGGCTTCAATAATTGACGCCTATGAGCAAAAAATTTTCCAAACCGCCAAACAAATCTTGAGTTCCAATTTGTTGTTGTCAAACTACCATCTGCGGAACATTTGCGATTCATCTTTTGATGATAAAGGGTTAACCATATTGGACCAAAATGTAGAAAAACAAGCAATCACACATAACAAACAGAAGTTTTTTTTTTGCGAAGCTTCAAACAACGCCATGAAATAAAGAAAATATTTGAATCAGTTCATATTATTCATATTCAATTCGTCTATCTCTGGTACTGATCCATACAATACAAATATACAAAGTAAGTACAATACAAAGTAAAGTATACAAATATACATATACAAAGTGACACATTTTCTGAATCATTTGATCATCCCAAATAGAATGATGTAATTCGGTTTTACAAAACCAATTCTAAAGTGAGATATGAGTTCGCGACGGTTCTATTACGATTAATCCGTCGCCACGCGTTTTTCCCACCCGAGTTACGGGCTGTACTGTACGAAGATAACTTGAAAACCTATCGTCTGATCATCGCATTTAATAACTAACAAGCATGGCCCTGACTTCAATTAAGACTCTTGGAGAAGTGGCTCAATTGTAAGGGAATAAGCAGACCCCGTTTTCCGGTTTGCTTCATCTGTTTAGTGCCTGTAATCAGGCACAAGGTCTTTTGATAATTGTTTTGCATCCGCATCCAGCTTGATGAGAGACCACGACAAAAGCACACCTGGATATAAAACTAACGTCCCAAAGTAAGAAATAGGGATTAGCAATTTTGGCGATTGTTAGGAGAATAGTGAAGTAAGAGAAACACAAATTGTTCAAACTTTACCACATATTATGGGTTGCTACGTAAGCGAAGCTTGTTAGAATTTCCCCAAATTTTGATAATCTCTGCTTCTAGCAATTGCTAACTCGCAAGGGAAAAACGTATGTTCTTCTCCATGATGCTATTTCAGTGCAAAATCAAAGAGTAGGTGTTCTATGTCTGACTGCAGGCGCGATTTAGTTGTTCTAGACAATGTGCTAAAAGAAATGAAAACGCAGTAATTGTGCTGAATCAAAAGTATTGATTTATTACTTAATTTCAATAATTTGTCATAACACTCATTTCGCTACCTCCATTATTTTCACCAAATATTAATATGATTTACAAGCTTTCCTCGTCTATAGCTTGCTTTCATCATTTTTCAAATCAGGTTATGAGCTGAGAGACGAGACAGTCCAACAAAAAAAAAACAGCATTTCACACCTAAGTTTGCTTCAAATTTATTCCAGATTCCTAGTGATATGCATTTATTTAAGGTGTTGGCAGTAATCAATCAAATTACAGCTTTCGTCATTATTTGGGATTATGCCACATAAAAAATCATTGTCATTACGTCAAAATTGCGAGGCCCCTTAGAGGGAGCCTTCATTGAATTCTTGAGAGATACTTTTAGCATTTCCCTCATGGCTGGTAACTGGTTGGTAAGATGAGATTTGTGCAAGGTTTGGAGAGTACTGAGACTGTTCAACTCCCTTCAAGCTGTCTCCTTCATACTCGGATGGCCTACCGATATGGGGGCACTTTTAAGTACCGGACAAAGCATCTTCATCATCAACATCGTAAAGATTAGACCTGAAAAGGATTTGAATACACCGCATTTGTTCATGCGTGAATATAAGCGTTGGAAAAAACCACGGATTATGTAACAACAGTGGGCAGAATA